CGGAGCATCGTCAGCCGGGCGTCATTTGAAACCTGCGAAATTGCCGCAGCGAACCTCGAACTCCGATGATGATAAGATCGGGAGGGTCTGAGCACGAGTGAATTTCGGGATTCCAAAAATCTGAGTGAAAAGCAGCTAAGCCTTGCTTTAGAGACAGTGCAGGCCACAGGATTGAATTCCACTTCGAAGATCCGTCTCTTAAGGAATGTCTTTGATCGGCTACAGTGAACTTTACAAATAACCTGGAGGATGAGACCCGAATGGCTGCGGTGTTATGTGCCCGTTCGAGATGAGACTAAGCTCGAGCGTCTCATTTCTCTGTTTAGCCAAAAGGCCCATGGCAACCGTTTCACGAGCTTGATGAATTCGTGCGGATATTTCATCTGCCATGTTACAGTCATCTTCAAGGCGAGATGCCGTAATTTAAGAAAAAAAGCATCGTATTTACTGAGCTTAGAAAAGCGTTGTCTGATTTTACGATCTTACGGAGGTATCTCATATTCTGGTTGGTTACTCTTTGCTCACCATACATGCATATTTTCACACATATTTATGATGTTCTAAATGATATTTGCTTTCTTCTTGACATTTTTAGATCGTCATACCCTTCCGTTCCTGGGCCAGCTTCACAGCGCTCTTTCAGCTTAAACCCATTTATACTCACATCGAGGTGGACCAGGAAACGGTGAGCTGGCTTTACCCAGCCTGAAGTGATTGTCAGGCGGCTTTCCAAACCACTTTTAGAAATTATTGGTTGTCCTTACTAGAAGTCGACTGAATAATCGTTTTGGTCTATCTTAACTTGCTTTTGTTTTGACGCTTTTGGAGTAATATCTCTCAATTCCACTGAAAGCGTCCAGACTTTGCATCTGTTTCTAGACAGACCGACAAGTCTATTCATCGTACCGTTTTAGTCGTAACGAAGTCCAGCTTCACTCTGGACTTTTCAACCAGAATCACACCTCAGTGTTCTTGGCGCTCTCTTGCCCCATGTCAATACCCTCCTTCCGCTAACTCCTATCATAACACATCCTATCATGCTTCCGCATTGGATTTCATCATTACACTTCTCCCATTTAAATTTCTCTTATCCTACCGGCGAGACTCTTCAATTAGTTCCACCCATTCTCAGAACGTGCCAGTACTTCCTCTGGTGTTCAAATTGTTCCAACAAAAACTAAAAAACTGAAAAACACAAAAGGCCACACAATCTTGGTGTTCATAGTTTCAAAAACTGAATTTGTTTTCATATCTCAGACAACATCATATTGGCTGATTGGCCAGACTTTGCGGAGGCCACGAGTCAGTCAACAGATTTGCGGTCGGAAAACCTAAAAAGTGCTTTAATTTGAAATAATATCTTACATGAGGCGAGAGAGGCAGCATTTTTACTTTGTACAGCCTTATGTTGTAGTCCTGCCATCCACATTTACCAATCCAATCACAAAAATTCACATTCTCATAGTTCCACTATTATCGTCGCCATTCCATTTCTCCGTCAGGGCTATCTCTACCAGTCTCATCGCAACCAGCTGAGCACCGTGTACAGCCAACTGATGGGGCTTTGGCGGGACTGCCGACGGGCTCGACGACGTTTCGATGCTCGACCTCCTGCCGGCAGGTTGATTGGCAAACTCGTCCTGACTCGTCAGCTTCATCGCCTTTGGACCTATGGTCTCCGCGGTCTGCTCTGCGGCTTTGTCTTCTTGCTGATGCGGCCGCCCATCTGTCTGATTGTGAGCACAGCCAGTCTCTTGGTCGGACTGACGGTGCCAATTCTGGTGCCTGTAGTCAGTCTGGTTGTCCATCTACTCGAAATTTTGCTTTGGGACGCCTATGCACCAGGTCAGGCAGTTTTAAAGACCATAAATTATATATATAAATATATATATATAGATCTATATAAATTGATTGATTGATATAAATATAGATATTTAGATAGCTATTGGGATATAAAGATATATATAAGGAGATAGATAGATAGCTATATGGATAGATAGATAAATAAATAAATAAATAAATAAATAAATAAATAAATAAATAAATAAATAAATAAATAAA